AAGGGAAGGGTCAACACCCCTGTAACCTTTGTTTTGCTGTCTCTGCCTCTGTTCAGAAGATTTCACCTCATATTCTGTCCCTGTGACAATTGGGTTTTGCAAAATTTGGGTTGTCTTGGAAACAAGAATTGGTGACAAAGCTTCAGCAGAGACATCTTTTTTCCATGGTAACTCTTACAGGAATGAATTACCCTTCCTAGAGGTAGATTTCCTCTCACTTTCTGTTGTCTCACCTCATTTGTAACTAGGAGTAGTATGTACTCAAGAACTGCCTGTATTTTCCAAAACATCAGAGGCTGAGAAACATGTTATATACCAAGAGCTTTCTCTTTATCAGATGTGCCACAAATGTTTTAAAAAGGCAAACTCCAAAATCCAGTGAAAGCAGTGGCAGCCACCAAACTAAGATCTAAGCTCATGGTAAGAGAGCTCATCCACCTTCTGCTGCTTTTGTGCTGTGCTTGCCTTCTTGCTCATGTATGCCAGCAGGAGGTTGAATATGACAAGATTCCTTCTCTCCAAAACACTGGGACATTGACAGCTTCTCTTTAATAAAACATCTAACAATAGTTGCTTGTGTTTTTGCTGGTAACGTGTTATATTATGGGGTCAAATTTTGTTCTCAGTTAATGACATCATGTTGGCACAGTTGGGAACACTGTTTTCTTCTCTGTGATTTTTGGAATCTGTTTCATAAACATACAACAGGCTATATGTACATGTGTGTATTTGTAAAATGGTGTCAAATATAACATAGCCTACAAGAGCGTGTAATTTACCCAGAAAAATGTTGAAGTACCATACTGTTTTCATTTGAACTTCATTCATTGTGCAAATAATATTAAAAATGCTCTTTCAACCTTTTAAGTTTCATTGCCTCACTGGTTGTAGAGCATCAGTTTAAAAAAGAGATAATACATATTTCCTCCAGAATAGGTATAGGATAGTTGCATTTGCTCATGAGTGGACCTGTGGTGGAGTATAGAGTGTTGCAGAAATGCTGTTTCTGAAGACAAAATTTTGAAAAGAAAAATCTGTGCTGCCTAGATAACAACTAAAGATGAAGAAGATTTTTTTTAAATAAATGATACTCAATTCATACTGCAAATGGACAAAATTAAAATGAAGTAGTTCATATTACAAATCAGGAAATTCTGAAATTTGGCAGCAAGACTAATACTTTACTAAATAAACCAAAGCTATCCAGTAATTACTGAATAGACAGCTGTCTCATCTTACACATTAAAGTAGTAAATCATGTCTCTAGCCAAGAAGTAACCAATTTTATAGGACAAACTAAAAAAAATAATAAATCAAAGTTCTGAAGAGAAACTCATACTGCTTTATTCCAAGTGAGCTGAATATGTTTTGTTTTTACCTTGTAGCTGCATCCATCGTTACAAAAATGTATCACCATAAAGATTTATTTTGATGGTATTAATTTTCCTTCTTTTGGCTTGCATATTTGTTTAGTCCATAAAGTTATATATACTTATATAAACATTTAATATCCACAGTTATACATTATATTTGCTTAAGTAGATAGTGAACTGGGTCAGAGCGCCATTTAGATCTGCTGTTTTGGGTTCAGTAAAAGCCATTTGGATAATTTTAATTGTAATTAGAAAGCATAGAAAAAACTACAAATAGCAGGGTGGTGTCTTAGTAGAAGTAATTGTTTTATTTAAGCTAAGGGTGAATGTCTCTTGTGATAGGTGTACGGTTCAGATACATCACCTTAAAAATTGATGTTTTTGTAACCCCATTGGCCTACTTCATGAACATGCTTAGGTACTTAGATTTAAATTATAAACCAAATACTCTTGATGAAATTGATGCAAATTTAGAGGAAAAGGTGACATAACATTTGTTTTGATTTGGATGTTGCACTTCTAATATCTGCAATGGCTGAAAAACATATACTCATACTCATCCCAAATAGACTGCTGGCAGTCTTTACAAGTTCTAGTGAGTATACCAGGTTTTTCAGCTCTACTCCAACTTTTCCCCACATTAGCAAAATTGGGGGATACTCCAATTGTTTTCTGGGACTTAAGAGCAGCCAGATTGTGTCGAATTCAGCCCAATCTGCTGTCCAGATGGACAGCACTGCCATCACCCTTTCTCCATGTTATTCAGCACAAGGTAAAAGGATAAATTGTTGCTATGTTGCTGGTGCAACCACTCCTAGCCATAGATCTTCATCCAACCATCTGGCTGCCATGGGTTACTTCTGATGATGTCAGATCAGGGTTCCCATGTGATCACTAAGGAGGTGGCGAGACCACAAGCACTGCCTTCTTGCTGATCTCATGGGTACCCTGTTCTGACATTAGAAGAGGTGGTGTTCAGGAAGTCAGATGGATATCTGTTGCAAACTAGGAGTGTTGGTGGCAACATGGAGATGGGGTAGATACAGTTCTGGGCCATCTGGACACCAGCCCCAGATTCATCTCATACATGCTGGATCCAGGGCTGTTCTGGGACAGATTTATAGTGGGCTAATCCGCTGGATCTAAATGAGCCCTAGGTAACATAGCTTTTCATCCTAAATATAAATAAATTTACCTCACCTTAATGTTTGAGCAAACTCAGAGTTACCATTATGAAGCATGAGTATTTTTAAAATCTTACTATGGTGGAAATATCTGCCAGAGGACAGAATAGTTGGAAAGGAATTGATTTTAAGTGGAAAAACAGCTGACAGGAAAATCCTTTACTGTTAATGATGGATTCCCAGGGTTTCTTTAAATGAAGAGAAAGGCACTTGGAGAGTGTTGTGTGTATCTGCATATACTATCTAGTTGCTCCCACAAGACTAAAATAAAGTAACCTCCGAGAAAAAATATTTGAGAGGATAGAGTGAAGGGAAAATATATGACGAAATACATATTAGTGTGTGGTATATGTATGCTCCCTGGCTTTTTCCCCTTGTCATTTTATATTTCTCTAATATATTTTCCCCATAGCATTTTATGTTTTAAATTATTTTCTGCCTAATCATATTATGTAGTTATACCTTGATCCCATTAGATAAAACTATATGTTCTATAACTGAAGACAGGAGACTTGTCTTCATGTTATGCTTAAATAATTTCTAGCTTTTATGTTATTCATACTCCAGTGCAACAAACATAATAATGAGGTTGGAAGTTAATCTGAAGGTGCCACCAGTGATTCATTTACACTTTCAATGTGTGTGCACATGTATCTTCATGTTGCCTGTTGATTTATGGTGATCCAATGAATCTCATAGGGTTTTTTTAATGCAAGAAATCCTCAAGAGGTGGTTTTGCTAGTGCCTTCCTCTGAAATACAGCATATAGAACCTGGTATTTGTCTCAATACTAATCAGGTCTGACCCTGCTTAGTGTCTAAGATCAGACTGGCATTGTAGCCTTATGTATCCAGAAGATTGCCATAAATATATCTAAATGATTTGTGGTGCAGGATCAGAAACCCAAGTGGCAACAATATAGAATTTGAAATACAATAAAAATTAGGATATAATCTGTAAAGATGTAAGCTGCAATTCAACAGTTCCTGCTATTGACTGACTGGTTGTACAAATTGAACAAGTTAGCAGCTAATTGGATGGCTTGATTAGGTGATATGTTTAACATGGCTTTTAAAGGCAGCACTGGTGTCACTAACTTAAAGTGTCAGAGGATAACTGTACCATGACCAAAAGGGTCAGTAATTAAATGACACACAGGTTAATTGCAGGGACAGGAGGCAGAGAGAGACTGGAGAGATGGCAGATCAGGAGGAAGGAATAATGCTGCATTAATTCTTTAAGGAGAAGAAGAAAAGCCTCCAGAAATCTGTTACTTTCAAACCCATCCTTGACAATTTTATCTGAGGTTATGTATTGTGCCTATTGAAGTCTAGAATTAGGGATAGGCGGTAAGCCAGATGTAACATTGCAGTGCAGCTTTCATGCAAAAACACAAAATCCAGCTGTCTCCACACACACACACACAGAGATTGAGATTGCAGTGACAACTCCTAATATGTGATTCAGTGTTTTCTTGAGATTTGGAGATCCCCCCCCACCCCACTTCCAACAAATATACTTTTAAGTGGAGAATGTGATGAATATTACCAAGACTGTGTCTACATGGGCCAAATAAAACAGACTCATCTTGCAACCACTTCAAAGAGTCCACATTATGTATGGCTGGTTCACAGAAGAAGCACTGCTTCAAGCTGTTAATCTAGAATAAGGGGAATTTATTCCAGGGATTCCTTTATTTGATTCTGGTATTTTTGAGGTGTAAGCAGCTGGGTTGAGCTAGTGTAAACAGAACCATTGCTATGTAACTGGCTAGAAGCATCTCCCTCACTGAGCCTTGCTGGCAACAACATTTTTGCTGTTTATATGGCTGGGCACCTTATTGTGACATCAGAAGCAACATCACTAGCAAGGCTCAAGTGGGGAGCTCCTTTTGGTTGGAAAAATGCTAGCAGTGGTGGTCCCAGCAAGTCATCTTGGCACTAAAAGGGTGCCAGGAATGTTCTTGTGCAGCATCTGGGGCAACTCAGGATCACAGTACTCCTGATTGGATAAGTGCAGATGTTGCCCAAAATATAGTTCTTAAGTTTTGTTTTGTTTTCAACTTAATGATGCCCACAAATGTATTCAAACAAAGTGAATATTTTAAAAATGCAATAGAATATTTAAAATGTTTTAAAACAACAGCCTGCCATCACAAATCCATGAAAAGATGATTTCCGTCAACCACCAATGTGCATTGACAGAGGTGGGAAAGAAAAAAAAATCATACTCTGAGGGTATTAATCCTAAAGATAAAATTCACCAAGGTTTTGCTGCCATGCTTTTCCCTTTTCCCTGTTAGTTACCCAAATTCCTTGAATTAACTCACATCACAGAATCAAAATTAGTATAATATGAATGTGCACTATTAATTGTAGCAAAGCACTTCTATATGTAATGTATTATGACACATCAGCATCATTTTTTATTTTTATTTGTTTAGGTTTGTTTCCAGCAGTGCTGAACTTGGCTTCTAATGCCCTCATCACCACAAATGCTACATGTGGTACAAAAGGTCCTGAAATGTACTGCAAGTTAGTGGAACATGTACCTGGCCAACCAGTGAGAAACCCTCAATGTCGGATCTGTGACCAGCATAGCAGATTTCCAAACTGTAAGTGTAAAATGTTTGTTACACTTTAACTTCATTTGTGTGTGCTTGTGGCTAATCATTTTTCTCTTGGCTGCAACTGACATAGGAGAAAATATTGATATAGTCTAGCTGCCAGCTTTAAGGTAGGTGTGTGTGTGTTGGGGGGGGGGGGAATTAGTTGTACTCAGGCATGTGGGGAAAGGGTTAAAGAGCTCTCACATGATCTACTCCTAAGCCTGCCCTGACCGCAGCATAGCTAATATTTAAATAATGAAAATGGGAGTGGCAACATGCTGAAATATATTTTAAATTGTGTAGTTTCACTCTTGTACTGATTGGAATGTTTCATCATCTTTGATGTAAAATAGTTATTGTCTGCCAAGAGCCACATTCCACTGGAACTAATATGTCATACCTTTATTATACGTTGGGTGGAGCTGAAGCCAGGCATGGAGGAAAATAAGCAAGCTTGCCATTTTCACAGCCACTCCTTTCCCTATTTCTCCACTCAGTGGAATCCTGGGAAAGGGACAAACATAATCCTGGAATCTAATTGGTTGCAAACAGCTTTAGAAATGAGTCCAAGAGCCAAATAAGATGAAGCTGAGAGCCATGGTTTAGCCACTCTAAAAGAAGAATAAATAAAGTGTTGCACTCGTTGTATCTTTACATAAGGAGAGCCCGGTGGCGCAATGGGTTAAATCCTTGTGCCGGTAGGACTGTTGACAGATAGGTAAGCGGTTTGAGTTTGGGGAGAATGGTTTGAGCTCTCTCTGTCAGCTCCAGCTGGGGACATGAGATGGTAAAACAAACATCCGCATGTCCTCCGGGCAACATCCTTGCAGACAGCCAATTCTCTCGCACCACAAGCAACTTGCAGTTTCTCAAGTTGCTCCTGACATGAAGAAAAAAATATTTACATAGTAAAACAGAAGTTGGACATGGTATAAATACTGAACCCATGAGATTTCTGGACTCTGTATGCAGAGAATAGTAAACCATGCTGACATGATGGACTTCTGACCCAAGAATATTATGCAGTCAAGCTGGAGGACCTAGAAAATGCCTAGAAATAATATATTTTGTCAGATGTAGGTAAATTAGACCATGCACACCAGTCCTGTGTATACAGGGATCATATTGTATCATTTATGTCATTTTTTCTTTTATTGAAGTGCACATGATTCTCTGTCTCCCTCTCCATTTTCATTTATCACTGTTTTCTGTGGAGAGTAGAGATCTTCTTTAGAACAGATGTCTACCTTTTTGAGTGATGTCCTTGCATTTTCCTTAGAAGTACTCTTCTAGGTTTATCAGGAACTCTCATTTAATTCATATTAATAGTAAAAACAAAGAATACATATGTTTGCATGTTAAAATTACACAGATATCCCAGGACTGTTAATGCTCCTTTCTTGGTCCATATCTAGCAATGGGCTAAGTTGATAAATATGATTATGGGCCTTCCTCCTAATCAGGTAAGGGGAATCTACTCATCAAATAGGTTTTCAGCATATTAATTTTTTCTTCTTGGATATGCTGCAATCATTCTGACCTTTTTCTGAGTAACTTTCAAAGCTTGACATTTTCCCAGCCCTTTTCAAGTTTTCCCAACATGGAGCCAGTAACATTACTTGCCATAACTCAAAAAACAATATATCATATTTTTTTTGCTCTGGAAAACTCAAAGAAGAATAATATGATTGCTTGTGGTTTTATATTCATCAGTACCTCTAACAAGTCTATGTTGTGGAGAAGTTACTTACAATTCCTAGAATCCCAATAGCCAAGCAGGCTGGAGAACTTTGAAAGTTGTAATCTGAAAAAATAATATTTTTCAAGTTCTGCTGAAATCTGAGGGCTTTAAAATCTTTATGGCCCACTCTACAAACTGCACCCGTTAGGTTCTGCAAAATCACTGTGCATTGCAATTTGTCTGTCTAATCTGCAATGCAGCTAGACATTGAAATACATTGTCTTTCATTAGAAACCATCTCAATTTAAGGTCTGCAAAATGTTCATTAGGTAACATGAACTGTTTTATTTACTCAAAGATAGTGCTTTAATTAGAGTGCCATGAAATGTAACCAGACTTTAAATGGCCCCCTTGGAATTTGTGGACCTGGTGCGCCTCCCCTTAATTGCTGTGTAGAAGGAAATGAACACACACTCCTTGGTTAATCATATGTGAGCACAAATTAAAGACCACACTTTGATGAGTTGCCTGTATGAGCAAACTCCCTCGTCATTCATTAGGCTGATCTGTGTGTGAAGCCTGCGATACTATCCATTTTAACAGCCTGTGGATAGTATATTTTGTCCCTTTCCTTTTAAAAATAAGAGAATGGATTCCAGCAATTAATCAGTGGTTTCAAATTAATTAAGATTAAACTTCTGTAATGGGATTACAGTTAATTGTACATTCATCTTTCATCCCTCCTTTTCATGTCTAGCCCTCATATCAATTTGACTTGAGAAGGCTGATAGCAAAATTTCCAATTAGGCAACTTCTATCACTATCACCTTGGAAACCTGGGTTTGATTTACCACTGATTTCCACCCCTAAGATACTTTTAAGCTCATTTCTGAAAAAAAGATCAGACACGGTATAAAAAGATCATAGACAACCTAGTGCAAAGGTTCTTCTTTCTCCAGCCTTTAGTATCTTTTTAAAAATACAAAAATGAATCCAATAATAACTCACTTTTCTCCTTGGTTTTATAACATGCCATTGAGAATGCTTCCTAGTGCTGTTGAATCATTTGATGTTTATGTATGGTTTATAAAAAATATTGCCATTTAAGCTTTGCACCCTCATACCTTCTCAAAAAAGTGGTTTAATTGCACTTTCAATTTCCTTTTAATTGTGCTTTTAGGCATTCTACTTTTTTTCAGTAATGAGTCAGGATTCCTTTCCTTCTATTAAACATGGATGTGATACAAATCTATGAGACTAAAGATTATCAGGTTGGTTAGCAGATTTAAATGAATTGTAGTTTATTCAACCCAAATGCAGGATAACGCTACAACAAAAATTAATTTTGTGGTGTATCAAATAGTAATAATTTAAATTTCTTACCCACCTCTTCTCAAGGCTCAGGATGGGACACAACACAGTTAAAAACACATAATTATAAAACATTATGTCAAAAACATATATTAAAACATATTTCTATGAATGGGATTTAGAGGATAACCCCCATATCTGCAAATTGGTATATGTGGTTTTATTTATCCATGTCTGACAAAATATGCCATCTCTAAGCATTTTCTAGGTCCTTCAATTCAAAAAGGTTCACTGTTATCTGCAGTTTCACATATACATGTGAAGTCCAGAAACTATTCCCCGCAGGACTCTAAGCACTGATTTTTAGCTAGATGTCTTTACCTAGTAGTGAGGAGCTATGTATTCAGGTATGATCCAGATTGAAATATTAGTTGGAATAGATGTGAAGAAGCCAGTAACGCCTGGACAGTAAACATAGAACTTTGAAGTCAGTAGTTTAGTATCATATGTTACTCATAGCTAATTCCTGTTATAGTAAAACATTAGGATTGTAATTGTAAAAGGAATATCTTGTTTGTTTTCATGCAAGAGATTGAGTCCACTATTTGTATTATGGCACACAATTTACATTATGAATGATTAAAAACTTCTGTTATCTAAAATATATTTTGGACATTGTCTCCCATCTCTCAGTGGGAGACCATCCACACTGCAGCATTAGACCAGTTTAACTGCCATAGCACCATCTAATGGAGTCTTGGGGGTCATAGTTTGTTGTGACATCAAAACACTCTGACAGATAAGGTTAAATATCTCAAAAATAGTACAAATCCCCGAATTCCATAGCACTGAGCAATAGCAGTCAGTGTGGTATCAAACTACTTTAATTCTGCAGTGTGGGTACAGCCTTAAATTCTAGCAGTTATTACTAGCAAAAGAAGACACAACATTCGAAAGGGTTCCAGTATGGCTCATCTCCTCCTGCTGCTGCTCTTTCCCTCTTTCTCTTTCCCTCTCTTTCTCACTCCATGCCATCATATGGTTTGATGGAACAATGCTGCAACTGAATATTTACTATTCATTTTAATGAGATATGCTTGAGAAACGTTTTCACATGAAATTAATGGTGATTTCTGTGCAGCAGCTCCTGATGCCAAAACCTATAGTACACAGGTGTAACCTATAACCCAACCATTGTAATTAAACAACTGTGCTTTGGATACTCTATGTGTAGAAATGCCAAGCAGATGTATTGTGAAGCATTCTTTTTTTGTTTAGTGTTAAACTGCTGTATATTTAACTTCACCTTTCAAATCCAAATATGTCTTTGAAATGTATTTTAAAATAAAGGTTGGGGATGTTTTTTAAAGTCTGCAGTGTGCTGTAATAAGCACTGGGAAACAAATAATTTTGTTACATTATAATTATAATTCTACATGGTAATTTAGTGCTCATGGGCTTCTAAAACAAATAGTATAGTGGGGGAGATGAAAATGGAAAGCCATTCAATCTTAATAAATGTGCACTTTATTGTTGGTCTAACAGTGCGACACCCAATAACAAATGCAATTGATGGCAAGAATACTTGGTGGCAAAGCCCCAGCATTCAGAATGGGATGGAATATCATTATGTGACCATCACGCTAGACCTGCGGCAGGTAACCTTTATTTTATCTCTCCTTTTTCATGGTGAAATTGCTCATATGTTTCTCTAGATTTTATCAGCCTAGCTCTCGAGCATCTATTGTGTTGTAAATATTCATCAGACGTTGATTAATGCGAGTGATTCCAGATTAGATGTATCATGATAGTACAAACCTAACTTTCAACCAATGTTATTTAGTAATTGCTCTACTTTAAACATTTTAAATACCGTTCTTCATTATCATACTACCTTTTGAGTCAGTACACTGCATAAAATACATTCAAAAAGCAATAATGGCATAGATGTTTTGCCTGCTAAATTTTCTTGATATTTGATATTTCTCATTAAAATTTAAGAAGACTTTTTCCGAAGCTCTGGAGAGCTCCTACATATATGGGGAGAAGTGGAATCAGGATCAATGATAGATCATTGTGCGATTTGCAATGGATTGACAAGGATTTCTGATTCTCAGTCATCTAACAATTGCAGCAACAAAACAAATGCTCCCTTCTTGGATCCTAAATTATATTCACGGAATTTAAAAAATGGGAAAGAAACCAGTTCTTGAGTGTCCTTTGTCTATTTATAGCAGATATAACCTTCCATTTACATCTGTAGCTGCTACCCACATGCTTATAATCTAAATAATTTTGGAGGGTGATTCTTCTAGTGACCATCTGTCACAGAAAGTGTGTGAATGCTGCTAAGGAAATTGCAAAATTGCTAAGGAAAGGCTCATATGCAGAGGTCTCATACCAAAGGTGTTGAAATAGCGCTTTTTATCTTCTGCTCTACAACCTGGTGGGCTTTGTTTGGAAGTGGAATTATAGAGTTGGAAGAGATGACACAAACCATTCAATCCAATCCCTTGCATGCAGGAATACATAATCAGCACACTCTCAGGGGATGGCCATCTAACCTGTTTACAAATCTCCATAGAAGGAGACTCCACCATATTTATTTATTTATTTACTTTGCTTGTATACCGCAATTTCTCAGCCTTGTAGACGACTCAACGCGGTTTACAACAAGAGCAAAAGTCAATCCAACAGCATAGAAAATTTAAAAACCATTAACAGCATAATATACAAAATGACACATCAATAACAACACATTAACGTCTCGTAACTAGAATCGTGATCCAATTCGTCATCCGTAATTTCGTTTTCCTATATTCATCGTATTCATTGCACTGTTTATCCGAACGCCTGTTCAAATAGCCAGGTTTTTAGTTTTCTTTGAAACACCATTAACGAAGGGGCTGATCTAATGTCCATGGGAAGGGCGTTCCACAGCCGAGGGGCCACCACAGAGAAGGCCCTGTCCCTCGTCCCCGCCAGCCGTGCCTGTGATGCAGGCGGGATCGAGAGCAGGGCTTCCCCAGAAGATCTTAGAGTCCTGGTGGGTTCATAGGCAGAGATACATTTGGATAGGTAACTTGGGCCAGAACCATTTAGGGCTTTATAGGCCAACGCCAGCACTTTGAATTGAGCCCGGTAGCAAATCGGCAGCCAGTGGAGCTGGTGCAGCAGAGGAGTTGTATGCTCCCTGCGCTCCGCTCCTGTTAGTATCATGGCTGCCGCAGGTTGGACTAGTTGGAGCTTCCGAGCCGTCTTCAAAGGCAACCCCACGTAGTCTAAACGGGATGTAACCAGAGCGTGGACTACCATGGCCAAGTCAGACTTCCCAAGGTACGGGCGCAGCTGGCGCACGAGCTTTAATTGTGCAAATGCTCCCCTGGTCACCGCCGAAACCTGGGGTTCCAGGCTCAGCGATGAGTCCAGGATCACACCCAAACTGCGAACCTGCGTCTTCAGGGGGAGTGCGACCCCGTCCAACACAGGCTGTAACCCTATACCCTGTTCGGCCTTGCAACTAACCAGGAGTACCTCTGTCTTGTCTGGATTCAATTTCAATTTGTTCGCCCCCATCCAGACCGTCACAGCGGCCAAGCACCGGTTCAGGACCTCGACAGCCTCCTTAGTAGCAGGTGGAAAGGAGTGACAGAGTTGGACATCATCTGCGTACAGATGACATCGCACCCCGAAACTCCGGATGATCTCCCCCAGCGGCTTCATGTAGATGTTAAACAACATGGGAGACAGTATTGAGCCCTGAGGAACCCCACAAGACAAAGGTTGTGGAGTTGAACAGGTGTCCCCCAGTAACACCTTCTGAGACCGGCCCTCTAGGAATGACCGGAGCCACTGTAAAACAGTACCTCCAAGACCCATCCCTGCGAGGCGTCCCAGAAGGATACCGTGGTCGATGGTATCGAAGGCCGCTGAGAGGTCCAGCAGCACCAACAGGGACACACTCCCCCTGTCCAGCTCCCGGCGAAGATCATCCACTAAGGCGACCAAGGCTGTCTCGGTACCATGCCCCGGCCTAAAGCCAGACTGTGCCGGATCCAGATAATCCGTGTCTACCAAGAATGCCTGGAGTTGTGAGGCCACCACACGTTCCAGGACTTTGCCCAAAAAGGGGAGATTGGAAACAGGCCGATAGTTGACGAATTGAGTGGGGTCCAGTGATGGTTTTTTTCAACAGCGGTTTTATTACAGCTTGTTTTAAGCTGGCTGGAATTTTGCCTTCCTGAGGGAGGCATTAACCACCACCTTCACCCACTGACACCCCCTCTGGCCTCCTTTAGAAGCCAGGATGGGCAGGGGTCCAGGATGCATGTGGTTGGCCTCATTCCTCCAAGTATCTTGTCCACATCCTCGGGTTTCACCAATTGAAATGAATCCATCAAAACTGGACAAGCAGGTGCTCGTGTTACATCCTCAGAGACTGCCCTTAACATGGTATCCAGACCAGAACGGATCAAAGCGACTTTGTCTGCAAAGAACTGAGCAAAAGCTTCACAGCGAGCTGCCGAGTCCTCAGGGCACCCGTCCTGAGTGGAGGGTTTTAATAAGCCTCTGACAACTCGGAACAGTTCAGCCAGACGGTTTTTTGCAGACGCAATAGTGGCCGCAAAGAAAGTTTTCTTTGCGGCCTTTATTGCCGCGGCATATGCCCTTAGAAAGGACACAAACCGTGTTCGATTTGTCTCGCTCGGATCCGAACGCCACACGCTCTCTAGTTCCCTCTTCCTTTGCTTCATCACTGCCAGCTCCTCAGTAAACCAAGGAGCTGGTTTAGCTTGGCTACTTGAGAGGGGACGTTCCGGAGCGCTGGCCATCTCTCCATTCCAGAGAGTGACCAAGGCCTCGACAGGATCACCTACCACGGTGGCGGGAAACTCCCCAAGAGCCATCAGGAATCCATCAGGATCCATAAGCCTCCTGGCAGCATATCCTACAGTTGAATAGATATTGCCATCAAGGAGTTTTTCCTAATGTTTAAGTGAAATTCCTTTTCCTATCATTTGAATTAGTTGCTCCATATGTTAGGACTTTACATTGATGAAGGGCAGCAGATGGATTTGCCAGCCTCCGTGGTGAATCCGTAAGACAGCGGGCTAATCCCATTGGCCCATGCCCCTCTTTACCTGCAGTGCCACTTCCCCATTACACACAGGGAAGTGCTGCCACACAGCTCACCCCCCCACCCCTGCTGGTGCTGTTGCTCTCTACAGAACATAGGAAGCCTCCTATGACAAAGTGTCATAGGATGCATGCAGCACAGTTAATTACAAAGACCCTATGGAATTAGTGTGCATCATGTGATTGGTGGCATGAGGCTCTATAAATGAAGTGTGTTGCAAGTGTCGTACAATGCTTGTGAAGGGGGAGGCAGCTGCTGTGCTGATCTCCAAAAGACAATGCCTCTCCTATTTGGCTGCTAGGGAAGCTGAATTTCCGACAGGGGAACTCAAGGTAGCTTTTATTTACAGTCTTCTTGAAGGCCCTGCCGCTTTATGGGTCACTACTCTGATTAATGCCAAAGCAGCTGAGGTAAATACAGCGCAGGTTTTTCTGGACTATATTCAAACTACCTGGGGGTGTCCAGTGACCCAGAAATTGGCCAATCGTAAATTGCATTGGCTGCTGCAACAGGACAGGCCTTTGGCTCAATACACTGCTGATTTTAAAGTGCTAGCACCAAAAGTGGGCTGGAATGATGTGGCTTTGCGTGGACAGTTTTGGGATGGATTGAATCCAGAGCTACAAGGGGAAGTGCTTCGTGCTGACCTTCCTGCTTCCTTGGATGGATTAATTACCTTATGTTTGTGGCTGGATAGCAATATCCTCACACAGCATCAGTGGGGCCATGGGACTCCAGAGCGTGCAGCCACTAAGACCGGGAATGCCCCAGGCTCGGGGCCCCGCATCCCATGATGGCCTGCCCTACCAGCTGATCACAGGGACAAGGAGGAACCAATGCAGTTGGGTCATGTACACCCCAAAATTGATGCAGCTGAGAAAACCAAGCACCATCGATTAAATCTCTGCTGGTATTGTGGGGCGGCTGGACATTTCTCTCACGAATGCCCTGTGAAGAAGTGACCGTTGCTGAGGAGACAGCGGAACTTCTCGAGATGGTAGACAGCGGAACTTCTGGAGACGGGAGAAGGCTTCACCCAGCCAGTGGGGGAAGGGTTCGACCGGGCCTAGAGAGGCTTGTTGGCTTGCTCGCTACTCACCCCTCAGAGCCTCAAACTGGAAAGTTGTTCCTGTTGTTAGTCACTCTGTGGTCTGCCAAGAAAGGCCCAGTGTTGGTCCATGCCATGGTGGACTCAGGTGTGACCAATAACTTAATTGACCGGGAGTATGCTGATTCATTGGGGTTGGAATACCAGAACTTAAAAGACCCCAGGGTGGTGCAGAGCATCGATTGCCAGACTTTGAAATCAGGGCCGGTGAGCCAATGGACAGTGCCTACTAGGATGTGGGTTCGATAACATTTTAAGGACATTTTCTTTTTGGTGACCAAGGTTTCCCATTTTCCCATCATGTTGGGGGTGGCATGGCTGACACTTCATTACCCTCACATTTTGTGGGGATGACGGGAACTACAATTCACCTCAGAATATTGTCACCAGAATTGTCTGGTGGCCCAAGTCTG